GGGGTTCGCCGCGCAGGAAACAACCGAAGAGGAGGAACTACAGGGCTTGGTGGGGGTTTCCGGGCTTTTTCTTTTCTTACTCCCATCTGCGCGACGTGCAGGCACAGTGTCTACAGCAACACGGTCTACCATCGATGCTGTGTACTGCGCCCGCCGTTCTGCTGACCACGAAGAAGCAGGAGCATGTGAACCCTCCTCAACAGCCTCTGCCAATTCGTGTTGACGTCTAGTCATTTACCTCCACGCTGCCTTGTTCGGAACTCTTGGCCCGTCGAGTCTAGCTTAGGAGGCTTTGGTGCCATACACCAATTGCTGACAAGTCCCCCTCCGCAAAGAGCTTACGGCTGATAACCATGCGAATGCGCAGTCATCCACATGGGACGCCCTTTTATCTTGAGCCAAAGCATGGCGGTTGCCACTCAGTCAAGTGACACAACTGTTCCAGTTCTCTTACGTAGCTTGCCGTTTTGCTGAGACTTGGCAGCCGAAGCTAGAAGCGCTTGCTCATCATCCAGCTCCATGTCCTCGAGATTCAATTGCACGCGCCGTTGCTGCCGCACAAACTATGGGTTTAGGGTTTTGGGTTCAGGGTTTAGGGTTTAGTTCTTTCACGATAGTTTAAGTGTGCACTGTGTGAGCCATTTAGACTTATATTAGCCAGTAATTGCATCAAAAACTATAGGTTTCCATGTTTACTAGTTCTTGTGGCTTTCCGATGTGCCTGTAGCTTCTTGCATCTTGTCGAGAGTTTCATGGCGTATGTTCACATACTTGTCTAAATCGTTGCCGAGGTATGGCTGTGGCTTCAAAGGGACCTGGGTAAGGTCGGATGCATCTCCAAAATGTTTCTTTTGGCAAAATAGGGGACCCCTAAATTTTGCACCCCAAATAGTCGGATCCCCTTATAATAAGGACGCCAGTAACGTACCCCCAATACCGTAACCAAAATGAATGCCACCCTCATTGCTCATAGAAATGCTCCCATGCAAGTCTGCCTCGGCCCGATTGGAAGAATGCAGGTGTTGCCAGTTTGTCCGAAGCTTATGAAACAGCTAGAACAGCTTCTGCAACCTTCAACCGCTTAGAAACTTTCAATGGTAACAGGGTTCTCTTGTCGGTATTGGACACTTCTAGACTCTGCTCTTAAGTTTCTTGTCAGTGATCAGGCTTGACATGGCTTTTCCACCTGGCCCCCGACTCTTGGAATGGTTTTTCTTAAAGCGCCAGCGGCCTATTGCGTTAACTTCGGACGCAGAGCCACCAAACTGCTGGAGGCCTGTTCTTCGTGCAATCACCCTGATAGTCCCTGTGGCCCACCTTGTGCGCCCTGGGTGTACTTGGAGTAGTCCATGTACTTCTGGTAGTCACCCTGCAAGCTAGTGCTTCTGGCACAGGTCCGAGTTGTAAAGATGTGGCCGTTGTTGAAGGTGTGAGGGACAAAGGGCGTGGTGGAAACACGGAAACACGATGCACGTGAAAGATAGGAAGGTGGATGATGACCATGCTGATACGACAAGTCTTCGGCTTAAAGCTGTATGACGCTGGCTGCTGTGAGCGTAGATTCTTGGCTCGGGTTGAGGGGTCTTGGGGGCGGAGTTTCAAGATGTTAGGATGGTACTTCTCACCGAACCGAGGAATACCAAAGATCACCACCCCTCATAAGCCTGTCCGTCTTCTGGGTATCAAGCCCCAGTGCTGCGACGGTCGCGGAGAGTACACACTTAACACAGCATCGCCCTGCCTGGGAGCCACCCTGCGCCCCCTGGGTGTACTTGGAGTAGTCCATGTACTGCTTGTAATCACCACCCTGAGATCCCTGCGACTGGCTGGCGTCCTCACTGCTGTGATCTGCTGCGTGCTTCTCCTCCGAGTGCTTCTTCTTCTTGTCGCTAGAGGCATCAGCTGCGAAACTGACAGGGCCAGATGCCTCTGCCTTCTTATCCCCTGGCATGTACTTGCTGGCATAGCCACCGGCGTACTTTGACATGAACTGCTCATAGCCCCCTGCTCCGGAAGAGCCATACTTGTCCATGTAGTTCTGGTAGTACTTCTGGTAGTCACCAGAGCCAGAGCCACCTGTGGATTGGCTTCTAAGTCGCGTAGGGTCGTCGTTGCGTTCAGCTTTTTCAGCATCTCTGGCGTGCTCATCTGTTTTGCTTGCTTGGCGCATGGGGTTTTGACTGCGGAGCCCTTTCTTTGTTTACCTCGGGCCTTCTTTGCATGCGTTGTTCTTCCTACTCGGCATTCCCGGAAGCCGTTCTATCGAACGAGGCCAGCCGATCCCCTTAGCTTGCCCCGCTCCGTCTGGTTTAGGGCATGCTTAGGGTTCAGGGTCCCTTTTTGAGGGGCTCAGGGTTACGCATTCCTTCTCAAGAATCTTGCCAGCTTGCCTCATTACTGAGTGCTGCATCTTAGCGACAGGAAACCTGAAGAAGCCAACCCCGGAAATCCCTTCGGGATGCCCCGAAGGAATCAACACAAATGCTGCAGGCTCTGCATGACATGCTCCTGGATTATGATTCCTCTTGCGCATCCTCTTCGAATACGGAGCCTTATATATTCAGGGGTACCCAAAAAAGTCCAGGGGTCCCCAAAAAAGGGGCCGGAATTTCGTGAAGAAGCTCGGCCTCCGCCGCCCATGTATCCCGAAGCATACTTGCTGATGTAGTTCTGATAGTCTCCTGTCAGGAATCAACTACAGAGGGGGGGATGGCATGATTCCAAGCGATCTCGAGTGCCTAGGCCGAGGACACTGTAAAGACTTCCTCGTGCTTAGCTTTGGGGATCTTCTCCCCGTTTCGGCATGACGTGCACGCGGGGCAAACCGAGGTCAAGCCAAAAAGGGGTGCAGCCTCACACACCTATCTTCAAGACACCGGCCTGTGGAGTTTCATGACTCGAAGCACAAACGTTGAAGCACACACTGGGCGTGCCCGGCCTTGCGCAGCAACTGCTGCCGGAAGCAGAACCGAAATCAGCATGCAAGCAGCCATGGTAAAGGAGCTGCTGCAAATCAAACGTGCCGAGCTTGGGCAAAATTGTCTCTCCGGCGGCAGGCGGCAAGTGACATTGCTGAAAACATTGGGAGATGCAAAAGCAACTTGGGTGCTTGGTATCTTGGGGAAAAATTGCAATAAGCTTGGCAAAGCTTGCTGCGGAACTCATCAGCTGAAGCCTTGTCGGGCGGATCCACTACTTGGCAGTCATGTGGTGCTGCACCTGCAGGACACGATACGCCCGAATCTTTTCACACAAGGCTCTACTCGAGACTCGACATCAAAAACCGCGAAGCTGAATTCCCAAGCAGCCCATGTCAGCAAACTGGGGAGCCCACCGCCTGCGATGGCTGAGCTGGCCGGACTTGACCATCTGCACATGTCTTCACGTGCAATTGCAGGCAGGAACTGCTGCACAAGAAATACTGGCTGGGATGTTCAGGTGGGGCAAAGGGAGGAAAGCAGGTCCTCCGAAGAGCCAACGCCGTCGTGAGAAGGGCTGCATCGGCTTGTGCCAAGCCTGAGGCAACAAGTGCGCCCAATGCCAAGGATGCTGGCACCTGTTGTGAGCAGAACCAAATCCTGATCAAAATGAGAATGTGCTCTGACGATGTCGGGCCTTGTCCAACTCGAAACTCTCAGCAATGCTGAAGAGACTACGAAACTTCTCGACTATCTCTTCAGCTGGGGCCGAGACCGGCCAGCGGCTTGCCCAAGTACAGACAATCTGCCAACGCCTGCCAGAATGTCCAGGCGTTGGCTTTTTGAACACAACAAGAGGCCCAAGTATAATTCTCAAGACCGGAATCAAAACCCAGACTTCCCGGCCGAATCTAGTTGCCTCAACCTTGTTCTGCCTGTATGTCTTACGGCTATGCTTGCCTCGAGGCTGCACGCTGCCACAGCTTCCAGGGACAGCTGCACCGCATCCAGGCCACCGGAAGCCTCTGGCTGCACTCAAGGCTTGCAGCCGGCTCCGACCCAGTGACCCTCACGAAAAGCGTTCAGGCTAACAACTGTAAGAATTAATATTAGCAATAACATTCACCAGCAAGAGTAAGAACGCAGATCAGAAGAGCAAAAATAATAACAACACGAACTATTAACAACCACGAAAACAGTGCGAATGATCATAGCACCAAGAATAGTAGCGTTCCTATCAACAACAACCATAGGAGAGCAGAATACCAAAACACTGTAAACAGTAATAATAAAACCAAAAATCATAACAACAATAACAATAACGATAACAATAAACAATGCTATACTATAATAACAGCAATCTGGCACTAGCGACAAACCAAAATTTCACAGCAAGTCCATAACAACCACAGCAATAGCAAGAACAATGACAATGACAATTTCAACAAAAGGGGAGAAGCTTGGGCTAAATTGAGGGACCCCTCTTGTGGCAAATGCACGGGGCTCACTAGTGATCACGCCGTTCGCCACAGTGTGGACGTGCTTAAGAAAAGAAACAGAAACTGCAGACTCAAGTGGCACACAGCTATCATAGTGAAAGCAGACTGAAAAACAATATAGCCAGCTTTGTCGGGTTTGTCGTGCCATGTAAGGGGTTTGAAAGTTACGTTCGGCGCGTGAGACACCTTCGCTTAACCAAGGTGCCTGATGAGGTACGTATCTCGAAAAGTACTCATCCAAAGCTTCTGAGCCTGACGACCGATGCAAAAGGATATGCCACGCAAAACTTGGCACGCACTGTGAAAATTCAATCCAGTTCAGCCACTGAGCGCACAAGCCAAGCCTGCAGCAAGGACTGCGCGATGCGCAGGTGTGGCGCAGCCCTGCGCCGTCGACAACACCTGGGAGGGCTGGCTGCCATCCTCAAGGGGGTCCTGGAGGGGGGCGGAGGGGGGGGGGGGGGGGGGTCCTGAAAGGCTACCATGATACCCGCCGCGCATAATCACAGCACAGAATGTCATGAAGCGAGCTACACTGGTCTGTGGGTCCACATCGACGCTTCTGTCCTTCTGGCACTCGGTTTCAGCAACGTACTCCCAAGCGCCGCACAGTGTCGCAGAAAATGCCCTGGCCACGTAACTGGGACAATCGCCTGAACCAGAGTTCATCTTAGCAGATCAGCCGCCACAGCACCCATCCAACACCGTAAGCATTGCTTGAAGCTAGTTTTGGCGCAATCGGCTGCAATTCAGAGGTGTCATGAGTGCTGTCATGCGCAATGAGACTTTATGAGCCGGAAGTCCTACTTGCAGCCTGGCCAGGCGCAGTGATGGCAGCTCCGGGGAGGCTGCAGGTCCAAGAGCCTTCATGCGGAGGCCGCTTTGCTACGATTCTACGCTCTTTTATCACCCTATCACCCTAAACTACGGTAGAGACACTGCAACAGAGACCCCAATAGGGCCCCATCATCATTGAGATCAATCCCTATGTATCTCTGCGCCTTTGAAGGCACAACTTGTTGATAAAAATACCAGGCCCGACTGGTCCATGCCACCACGTGCATGCCTGGAACCCTTCTGACTACGTAGCCGCCAGGAAAGCAACCAATCTGTTGAACGAACTGTCTGATTCTGCGCAGGAACCAGCTTCTACAGTAATGGGTGCAACAGTACAAGACATGAGAAAGGATGACCAGCCCAGGTTGCGCAACTCATGATAGAGCACCCAGAGTTCATGATCACACTTGAAATCTGTAAGCCAGATAGGGCTTACTTGAAGGAGGCGGGCCAGGGTATCGGGTATCAGCACTGATGCTCAGGAGGAGGCCTGAAAAAGCCGCATCACGTCGCGACAGCATCTTTTACCTTCAAGCATCAGATTGCGGCGACATCTGGTCATCTGCAATGAACGTGCGAGCAAGTGCACAGCATGGCTTCTGAACTTACTCGGCACGAACTACGATGGGTTTTGGAATACTATCTTCGCTGAATCATCGGAACCCTCACTGCGCCTTGAATCTGACCGATCGCCTGATCCAGGGTGATGTCAGCATAGATGTGGTCGATGAGCAGCTGAAGAACCTCCGGCCTGCGGGGAAAGCGAGTTCCAAAGATGGCACAAGCAAGTGACGCAGTCTCGGTAAGCTGCAACGGTGCACCTCGCACAGCGTGGGAACCGCAACTCAGCAGAAGGCAGAGCTTCAACATCATCGGAGCTGCCTGCCAACTGTCCAGGCTTCACAGGATAGGAGTCGAGGCACCATGCCAAGTTGCACAACTGGTGCACTTCCCGCATCCGCAGCCTCCGGTATGTAGCGCCTGTCAACATGGTCCGAAAACAGAGACAGGTACTTGCGTTGAGAAATTATTACCATGACGTACGCAAGCTGTTGTGGCCCTGGACCCAGTGACCAAGCGCCTGCTGCCATGCGGTGCTTGCCGTGGCCAGGACAGCGCGGTGAGCAGCGATCCTGACATCATAGGAATTGACGGGCTCATGTCTCATGCAGACTAGCTGCCTGGCTCCACCAGCAACAAGCACCACATCACCTCAGATGTGCACAAAGCAAACAAGGTCATGTTATGGCCAGGACTCAGCAAGGCAAGATGCAAAGCTCACCCTGCAAGCAGCCAGAAAATATTGCAAGCCGAAGGACAGTACTTGCCCTCTGCTCGAAGCTGACGAAGACGCTGCGCAAGGTACTCGCAGGCCTTGATTGTTCATCGACCCAAGGGACCCTCTTAAGACCTGCCTAGGACGATCGACTGCTGCAAAGTGAAAGCGGTTGAGGCACGTCCAGCTGCACGCCATCTAAATCTCCAGGTGCCATGGCTCTACTTCTGGTCTGATGCGCCATGCAGAACTAAGTCTTCAGAAGACTAAAGTGATCCAACTCAAAGGATGAACTCTATCGGCTGACATATACAACGGGTCGATTGGTTTGCCGGTTTGGGCTGGGTCAATTGACCTAGAGCCAGCTCATGGACGCTGATGAAAGGCAGGCACGTGTGGGTTCTGACTCTGAGCACTGGCCATCGCCGTGACCGCAGCCGGAATTCGCTTGTGCTTATGGGCTCCGAGTACTGCATGCTCGTAGCAAGAAACTCGCCTCCCAGTAGCCCGCGCCTGCTGCACGCACCTTGCCAGAATGAAAGCAAATTGGCAACTTGTACTTTTGAGGTCCCTCTTGCCACCGTCATCGTCGAAGTGAGTTGGCCAGCCTTGCCCCAAAGCGAGGTCAACCCCTCCTGTGCGGCCTGCAAAAAGGGCGTCGCTCGCAGTCCAACGGGAAGGCAGTGCGGCATGCGGTGAAGCGCATCTGTTGAAAAAAGCTCAGGCATCAGCACTTACAGCACCGTCGAGGTCCAATCCACCTACAAATAAGCGACTCCTACCGCATCCTTCCGTACCCTCTCACTGCGGCTTTGGGAGTCAGTATCCCCATGCAGCAACGCTGCGCGGCATGCCCTGCCTTCTGAACCTGCCTGCGGCCGAGGCGGATACGGAGAGCTGGACTCTGGACCCTTGCACCGGCAATGCCATGATTGTAAGGTCCGGGTCTCAATGCTGCAGGCTGACATCTTCCTATGCCACAGTATATGCTGCTTGAGGTCGCTCATATGTCACAATTGGGGTCGGCGCGTGCCGCCTCTGGAATGCGCACACTGCATACCTGGGCAAACGAAAGCTGCGGCATATGTTTGCCCAACAGCGCAAGGAACCCGGCCCCTGAAGTCATCTTGCAGACCAAGTCAGGATCGAGGCCAGCACGACGCATCCAGGAGCGCATCAAGGTCCACCGTCTGCGGCCTCAAGCGTGTTAAGCAAGGACCTGTCGAGCCACGGAGCAGAAGGAAGATGAGTCAACTTGAGCTGCTGACGCCGACACGAGGCTCTCCGCTAGACCACCCACGTCGTCGCGCTGCACAAGAGCCACAATTGACAGACTGCTGTATGGGTCGCTGGACAAGACAGATGCTCGCTCACTGCAGAGTTCACTGCCTCGCATGGTTTCGCACTCCAGCGTGCCTGGAGAAGGTCGCCTCTTCTCTGCAGTAGGAGCGCGATGACAATGGTGTCGGCAAACTGCACATGGCCAGCAGATGGCTCTACAGCATTCTACAGCCAGCATCCAACAAGCGTAAGCTGCAATCAACTCTCTGCTTGGCCTGAAACCTTTGTGGATCTGCCAGAATGCTGTCCCAAAGCCTTGCCTGCAGCAAGACGTAAGCTTAGTTGAGGTCCGACGTCATCTTTCCAACCATGAAGCTTGCGGTCTTACGAAGCACACACTGAGATACTCATGTCATTGCATCATGTCAGCGTACCTCAGGCTGTGCCGAGGTTCTCGCTGCTTATGCCAACAATGGCTGACATTCGCTCCGACTCCAAGCGTCCCACTGCTTGTGCCAGCAAGAAGCCCGCACGGCACAGAAGCAGTGCTCCGAGCCTGGCAGGTTTTCTAACAACAGGAACCTTCTCCCGCTCTCCCCTCCCCAGAAGGAAAAGGTGAAGTGTTCAGCTTTGCGGCTTCAATTCTCTCAGCTGGGAAGATCCTACGTTGAAAGCTAGATCACTTCTAGACCCCCGCCACCTTTGCTCAGATGTCCTGGAGCTTGCTTTGACAGCAAGCTGGCGGCCTCAAGGCGGGCATTGCCACCAAGCCATGATCTGCCAGCAGCTTGGCCACCTCAGGCCAAAGCACCGGGAAAAGTCCCCTGAGGGCTCGGGGCAGTTTTCAAGGTCGCTGCTGGGTGGTCGAAGCAGCGGTGCAGGTTGAGGAGTCGCCTGGCCTTGGGCCGAAACTCTCAGACAACTTCCAGGCCTCCCATGAAACTTCAGATGTGCACGCCTGTGCCGCGAGCGCATCGTCGCCAATGAGGGTCTCCTCTGCATAGCTGAGGACGTGTGTCCCCACCGCTTTTCGGGTATACTGGGGCTTCGTGTATTCGAGCCCTTTTTATGCCTGGATGTGGCCGAAATCTTCTGTGATTCTCTTGGGCCATGCGAACGCTGGGATGTAAAAGGTATTAAAAGGTAAAAGGTACTCCTCCCCGACTGCTCCCCCATCTCCCTCCTCTGCATCGGCCAGGAGTTGCGATAAGCACCAGAAGGCATCAGCCTGTTGCCAGCAGACAGTGGGGGGTTTCCAAAAATTATGGCGCACCCCTGTTTGGGAGGTGGGTTCCTGGAAGAAGGACAAAGAATGTTGGGGGTAAGGGAAATCCACACGGATGCGTGATTTCTACCTGGGGTGCGTGCGGCTTTGCCCAAATGGATGGTGACTCACCATGCTTCCGCATTTGGGGAACAACTTGCCTCTCCCTCCTGCAGATGCGCAAGCTGCATGCCAGAGCTCAGCGCAAAAACCAGCCTCAATGAACACCAATGCCCTTGCAAAGAACGCTCTTTGTTCTTGTCAGAGTTCCGCCTAATACACAGATCTCTTGAGGTGTGGCTTCCAGGCCGTACACTTTCTTCTTCTGCGCACTCTCACTCTCGCTCTCGCTCTCGGTCTCACTCTCACTCTCACCGACACCCTCGCTCTCACTCTGCAGCCACGAAGCAGCCCCGCAATCTCACCGGCACCCTTCACACACCTGCACGGCCACGATGCAGCGGATAGAAGTAGACAGGGGGCAGCGGATATCAGTCCATGACTCATGCCACGACGAGCAAGTCGTGTCATTGAAGCTGGTCGTCTGACGCCTGGATGCTCTCCAGGAGTATGTCAGAGCAACCTGGCAATGATAGTACCGTAGCACGCGACATCTAAGACCGCATTCGTCACGCTGACTTCACAGCCCCAGCCACTCGCACACACAGAGAGCACTGAGAGCTCCTCATCCCATGCTGCGATCTTCAGTCTCGCAATTAAACGGGGCGCAGCGACCATGACTGCCGCTGTGACCGCCTGATCACATTACGAAGTTGCTGCTTTGATGCCTTGTGCCCTGCTCGTCCCTGGAAGTTGGGCCATGCAGAGTATCCAGCCACAGGCCTTCCCAACCCTCGCCCCAAAGGGTTGCCCCCCAAAACATGCCTCCCCAAGGGCTCCGCTTTTGGAGGTTTGGGGGAACCCTCTGCGATAGAGACTGCACGCGTGGTGAATCTTATATATGATGATTACTCACTTCTCACCTTCCTAGGTGCGGTGACCGAAGTGGCCGTTGCCATGTCGAGCCTGACCCAAGTATCCCAAATGCTACGTCCCACTGTAACATGCCGCAAGGTCCTGAATCACTCAACCAGTGACTTTTGCTATCCACACCAATACCTGAAATGCCTTGCATAGAATACAAACAACTGCAACGAAAACTGAGACAATTTCAAGCTTGAACCCCTCTTGCTGGCGTTTCTTGGCCTCAGTCTGCGATGAAACTTCGGGCCACGCGGCTCGCAGGTCGTCCTCCACCTGCAAAAGGGGTCGCCCTCCGCATGTCCAGCGACCATACAGTTGACCCAGCCTCTTTCCTCCAGTCGTTTATCCAGTTGGTGGAAGAGGTTGCCGGCGTAGTCTCCTGAAATTCTGCCATGCTGAAAAGTTTTTGTAATTCACAGCATAAATGACGCACATCCTGCCGCAGCCGACTGGGCAGGGCTTTGGCTAGGACAGGACGGCCAGGACTTCTGCTGCGGGTGCAGAGAGGTGCAGTTTAGTGAACTCCATGAACTCATGCATGTCAAAAACAGCTGGTATCTCACTTCATGTCAGCCCTTCGATACTTCAGACATTCCGACCCACGATGCTCGACAAGAACACCTCTTTGCTCAGCGCGGCACTTCTAAGTGGTCTCTCCAGACCATTCAATGATGTGAGACATGCCGGCATCATGGTCTGATTTCTCACACATCTTGGAAAGCACAGTGGCTCCAGGGATCTGCGCAGTTGTAGGTTGCGGTCAGTTTCATCAACTTCGTCGGAGATGCTCGGCACAACTGGTTTGCATTCGTGCCACAATTCATCTTCAATGATGAAAGAGGTGCTTGAAGAAGTTCTGCCGGGGTCAAGTAAGAAAAATGTCACAAATCTCAGGGTCCAACTTGGCGCGCCCTCTGCACACTCCGCACACTTTGGGCCTTGATATTGTTGAAGATCCCTCCTCCACCACATCCTTTCCCTGTACCAGGGCCAGCACGGTTGGTTCAAGCATACCAAGAAGTGGGACGTTGCACGAGCCTTCCGCAACGCAAATCTCCTGCCAACGGGTTTAAGAGCACATAAATAACACAGTCATAAACAACAATGTTAAGAACAAGAAGAAAAAATCATCATTCATAACAGCCATCTTCAAAATCATATTAGGCCACAACTTTCCGTCACCCCATCAACCTGGAGGCGGTTGATGACCTGGATCTGCTTCTGGGTGGAGGCAGTGTAGACCCTGCGAAGCACGGAGCTACTGTATGAATACATGTGTATATATATATATGTATGTATATATATATATATGTGTGTTTTTTTTATTTATTTATCTATGTATATCTCTCTTTTTTGAAGCATACATCTATGGTGTATAGTATATATCTGTATATATAGATGGCCCATATATATACACACATAGATAGGCTTGTGCTGCCTCAGAAGGTTCTTGGACGTCTCCAGGCCTGCGCGCTTCGGAACGTAAACAAACACGCGCATGCCAAGCGAACTCCAACAGTCATCTCAAATCAGTGGGCGAAGTTGCGCGAGTCATGAATTTCGCCACACCCTGCATGGCATCAGCACATGCGGCCTCGCTTCTTGACCTGAGACACGGCCTGCGAAGCGTAGAACAAAGCCCAGCGAACGTAGGATGCCGCAGACACGTCCCTTTGCCGAGATTTTCTGCCCACCAGCCTGTGACACCTGCTCCATGAGGCCCGCTGGCAGCTTCTTGGCCAGTTCCTGGAACTTCTCGTCGACCAACTGCGGCGGAACTCTGAGCGCTGTTGTGCATGAGGCTTGAAATAGAACCCTTCAAATTCGAGGTGTGTAGCCTCAAAGAAGTCGTCAAAATGCTTGGTCACACTATTCACCTTGCATGAATTTGCAAACTGACCTGATGGATGACTAATGTCGCCAAACTGTGCGTGGTGGCCACCGGGAAGCTGCAACACCCACACCCACCCATGGGCTCGAGCTTTGTCAAAGGCTTGGCCGAGCGTTGAGTTCAGCTTCAGCACGGCACACGATGCCGCCTCTGCCTGCACAAGGAAACACCATGTGCCAAGGCTCACAGCTTCCACCTTCGAAGGCGCTCACTGCAATCGGATGTTGCCAAGGAGCCACCACCGACCGGGCATCCTGCGAAGGCAAATTTAGGGTTTAGGGTTTAGGGTTTAGGGTTTAGGGTTTAGGGGTTTAGGTATCGATCACTCGCGTTCGCTTTGGTCATAAGGCAGTTAGGAGCTGGCTGGGGCTTGCATAGCACCCCTGCATGTCCTTGGCCACTTCCAGTGTCAAGTCTGCCTCGTTGTCAATTCTTTCCAGCAATGAAACCAGCCTGGAGCAACAAACACAACTGTGAGCGCGCGAGTATGGTTGCATTTTGCAAAGGCAGGGTGCTATTCATCTGTTATTAATCTAAATCTGTAATTAACCTGTTAGTAATCTGTTATTAATCTACACAGGGTCATACCGTAGAATGCTCCACCAAAATGATTCACACCTTCAGAAACCGAGCGAAGGGCGTACTGTTCAGCTTAATGGCTGTGTCCTTGGCGAAGCCCAACATCCAAGACGCTTGACTGATGTGTGCATGTGTCTGTTGATTGTCGGCAGCATCCCTGACCATACCATACCATACCGCGTTACCTGAACACGAAATGCACTAAATGTCACTTTGTAGCCATTGCTGGTGAGCTAAGAAGCCGTTTGGCCCACGGTCGACAGGGTGCCCACAGCGATGTTCTGCAATCGGATGACCTTATGCAGCGAAGGCACACACACTCAAAAAGATTTCCAACATCGTGGAGTAGTTTGGCCATGCCATGACATGCCCTCCTAGTAGTGCAGTCGGTGCTTTGTTGCATTGTTTCCTTCCGCCCTCGAAATGAACGACTCGAAGCCACCTGCTGCTTGTACTCGCGCCAGAAAGCCTGAGGTTGCAGGCCCAGCACAGCCAAGCACAGCCAGAGCACACGTGATGC